TTTTTGAATCTGATTCTTATATATACCTAATATGCAAATATTTGAGTAAGTTATTTTTAAACTACCAGTTTGTTAGTATATAACTAAAGAAAAAAAGCTCCAATGCAAAACATTTTAATAGGTTGTCAAATATACAGTTATTAGGATTACCTAAATATCACTTATAAAAATCGGTATATCACATTAGATGATTCTATAAAATAAAATCACACATTGACAATAACCCCTGCAGTCCAAGAATAACCCCATCGATAGTACAAATTACAAATACATTAAGAAAGAGACATTTAAACCAAAAAGTAACTCTGACTAGACTAAATACATTCATTCATCAGTTACAATAAACTTAGCACAGTCACTAATAACACAAGATTAGGTGCAATTTCACATGCTTTCACGTCTTCCAGTACAGCTCCCATAGTAAAGTGTCTTTGTGCACGCTATTTTCATTTATATTTAGATGCATCATACATCATCCTTAAGTCTGTTTCACTTCATTAAACTTGTTAATATATATTTTAAGTGAACACCAAGTTAAAATTTAGCCCCAAGGATGACAAAGTTTAACAATTAAAAAAATTCTTGAGAGTATATTTTAATTTTATGAAATTCATGTTTAATCGCATGAATACTATTTCCTCTTACTAAATGCTATCAAAATAATTTATAAACATTAACTCCTCAAAAATGGAAACTCCAAGCTTCCTAAAATATTAACAAGCATTTTAAGTAACAATAAAATTATCCTGTAAGTCAAACAGTAAATTTCACATTCATTGCCAAATTTAAAATACCAGTGACTTGAAGATTGAGGCCTAAAACATTAGTACTAAATTATAAAATACAATGTAAAAAACTGTGCAGTAATTTGCTTGTGAAAATATAATGGAATATTCCTCACAGTAAAGTTAAAGCACTACTCTAAATGGACAGTCTAAGTAAACGTACCTTTACCAGTAAGAAAACTGAAAAAATTAAGGCCTTTATATGCTATATATTACTATCTGAACTCAAACAAATAGAGATAACAATGCTGCAAAGTACTATTTTCAACCTAAATTGTTAGTTGCTTCATCTCAACTCAATAATTATTACTTTATCTTTACACTAACTCAAATGCTGATTAACTTTATCATCTTGAAATAAATATTTCTCTGTATCTCTGTTTTAATTCAGTCACCAACCCCATGCCTTCTAGACAGAATGCTGGAAATCGGGCTTTGTCTGATTGGTTCACAACTGTACATTCAGGGGCTAAAAATGGTTAGCATATGGAACATATCCAGTATTTTTGAATCTATATAATAAAGCCTAAGTGACTGTTATGGAGGAATGACCAGTCACTATGATGAGCACTGACCACCAAGGGGCAGATGCTCAGCCAAGGAGCTTCCCACTGATGGTCAGTGCGCTCCCACAGGGGGCGCACTGCTCATTCAGAAGCCGAGCTCATAGCTAGCGAGCGCATCGGAGGTGGCGAGATCCTCTCCAGCTTCTGTGACAATGCTAAGGAGCAGCGAGCAGAGCAGTAAGGAGCAGTGGGCCAAGCAGTAAGGAGTGAGAGGTCCTGAACTGTGAGAGGGATGTCCCGGACTTTGAGAGGCGCAGGCCGGGCTAAGAGACAACCCTCCCACCCCCCACGCACGAATTTTATGCACCGGGCCTCTAGTGAACTAATAAGAAGCATGACCTCCCTGGGCAACTCTACTTGTTTCCCCAAAGCATTAATAGGCAATTTACCTCTTTGCACAACCAAACTAACAATTTTTTAAAAGAAACTGATATCTATGCGGTGATAACATAGAATGTAATAGAAAGACAACTGAAGCTATACATATATCAAATCAAGGTTAAAGGCACTGGATCAGAAAGATTATTACAAAGCATGGTAAACAATTTTGAAAGCAAATCAAGTTTTAAAGTATAAGATGTTGAACTGCTATGAGTAAATGGTACTAAAAATGATAATGCTTTAAAATAGTTGCCAAATTTCTATAATTTCACACATAAAATCCTTTGTTTTACCATTTTCATCCTATGTGTTCTATATTCCAAATCCTAGAAACAAATGTTTTCAGTTGCATGAAACAAGAAAAATCCAACTGAATTATATTTTAAAATTATTTTTTTTCCTTCAGTTATGTTTAAAGTTTGACAGACATTGTAGAGATGATATGGAGAACATCATCTTAAAAACCATAAAACAGTAAATTATATTGTCAAAATAAAATTTAAAAAGTTCTTACTCAGTTGAATACAGTCTAAACCTCACAATAGCAAAATGTAGTGTAAGAGGCATAGTAAGTACAACCTTTCCATACACATAAAGAATAATGAATACTGAATTGAAAATACCACAATCTCCATGTTAGAGGTATGTAATATATACATTTTCACAACTATTTCTTGAAAAACTATTTAGATAAAATATTTAGCATTTATCAATTTTTTATTCGAACCTATGCAACTTCCATCCATATTAAAATATCAATTAGTGTAAATACTTTCTTATAAAACTATTATACAATTTAAGTTTTTATTAGAGAAATGTAATACTCTCCATAACTTCTTAAAGGTCTTTTTGTTAGTGCATTCCATAAGAAATACACTAAAACCATTATTTGTGTTTTCTAGTGGAAAAAAAAGTGATAAATCTATTAATCCAAACTATATCCTTAATATGCTTACTTTTTAAACATTTACATGTTTAAATATGCTTGGTGAATAGTGATCATTCTATTCCTGCAGTGGTAAATTTCAGCATAATGCTAAATGACTAGACTAGATAGTAAAATAGACACATGTAGATTACATAAACAGATACTTATTCTGTTATATGTAAGCTTATTTATAAAGTAACTTAAAATGAGCATTAGATAACAGTGATTAAAAAATGTAAACAAACGTCAATCCATTCCCTGAAAAACAAAAGATAAAAGGGCTTCTTGTTTTATTAAAATAAACAAAATATTATCTATTTTATAAAAAAGGTAAGACACGGATTTTACAAAACTATATTTCCAAATATGGGTAAAAAATCTGGAACAGTTGACACACTTTATTGAGATAAAATGTGCATAAAAACCTGATTAATACTTAAATGTATTAAATTCATTTTACACAGGCTGATACTATTCCCTACAAAAACTTCTTGTTTTGTTCAGACTCAAAATAGTGTCCAATTATCTGAACTTAAGATTTATCGAGCCACTATCCAAATAACAACAAAAAGTCTCTAATGTGGGAAAAATTAAGTAAAACTAAAACATTTCTATTATTACTTGAAATTCACTCCCACAAAAATAAAATAAAAAACCTAATTCCCATTTAGGCAGCAGAGAAAAATATGAAGTGCCTATATGAAACTTACAAATAAAAAATTAAAAACAATCAAATTTTGCTATAACAAAATGCATATGAATTTCAAAGTTATTCATGTTTGATAGATTTATTAAACTTAGAATTCACAAAGCATTTGTTACTTCTGTTTGTGCTCAACTATTTTGCCAAGTGCCCTCAGAGAGGCTTGGGAAGGTGACATAAACAAAAAATTGTGATACTTTCCTCCACATCAAAAAAAAAAAAAAATTTAATTGGATTTAAAAGTTTTATAATTCTTAAGAGAAATGGGGCGAAGAGGTTGGGATACACTAACAATTCTCAGCTCTAAAACATTTTCCAAAGAATATGGCAAAACTCAACTACTCAGATGTGTTATTAGTGAATCAAGATGCAAGCAATAAGAGCATAAACATCTAACATTTGCAAATTAACTTTAAAGTTTTCAATAATAACTGGTTATTTTTTAAAATATAGATGTGAAACAGACAATACATAATCTAATTTATCCAGGAAAAATAGCATTATCCCCATCTATAAAATTAAATCATATTTTCTCTCTTGAACATAAAAGTATTTTGAGTAAATGAAACAGAAGCATGGTTTAGATATGCACCACTCTCTATGATGTACTACTTTACACAGTATGTTTGATAACACAATATTGGATGTTGTCCTTCACTGCATATTAGAATTTTGAGAAACATCATTTTTAGCAACACAGATTTACACTACTGCTTAACTAAATGGACACATAAAAATATATAAATTTTTTTTTAAATTCAAGTTATTTCAAGGAGAAATAAGACCAACTTTCAATCACCCACCTTTTTGAAGCCGTAGAGGAAAAGGCATAGAGTTTATAACACTTTTCACAATCTAGTAAATATATATTCCAATTTGCCCATAAATGAAAATTTTTAAAAGAAAAGCATGGTTCTTCCAAGTAACTTGTCTCTCCTTGCCCTGGCAAAAATAATTATTAGCGCCCTTAATTTCAAGATTTTTGTTGTTGTCTGTTTCAATGATCTTTTTCATGAAGTATAGCATGTTGAAATATGAGTAATAAATTAAAATTAAAGGGAAAATCTGATTTTGGAATAAAATAATTCAAAATCATTTCACTAAGAAGCACCTTTTAATATGCTGGTCTAAACTTTAATATAAAATCTAAACAGTACTTATTTCTGAAGTAGAATGTTCTCCAGTTTTAATAACTTCAAAAAGTAACACTAAGGACATCAACCTGTGATTTCTAGATTTTTGAAAGTGTTCTCATAAATGTAATGAGTTTACATATGGCTCATTGTCATGGCTGGGTGGACAAAGATTTCATGGTAAATTGGCTACAGAAAACTAAATTCTTAATGACTGACTGTTTTGCATTTTGCTTGAGCCAAATAGATGTTTAAATCATGTACCACCACATTCCCTGCTTAACATTCCAAAGTTTCTTTATTCTTCATAGTTTTCTAATGAACAAATAATTAGTTTTCCTGAGTAAGATTATAAAAAAGTTAACCCTTCTACCAAAAGTGTAAAGACAAATAAAATGTAGACTCACAATACAAATTGTTTACATGGCATTACAAGTGCAGAGATACTGACTGCTGTTCTTCACAATGATTGCCCCACCCCTTAAAAAGACTGCAGCGAAGGATTCAATTGTCCAAAATACTCTGAAGTACAGTAATTAAATTCTTCAGTCCATAAACATATCCCTCATCTATTGTGTTGCTAGGAAAAACATGAGCAAAATCTATCATTCGCACTTCTACTTCCGCAATCTCTTGGCAACCAGTGGGAAGATGGCAGAAAACTTTTTCCAGTTGGGAAAGTACATTTCCATTTAAATGTTCCTGTGACAAGCTTTTCCACCCATTGTCTTGCTCTATATTTTCAACTTTCAATGAAGTCTGACTGTGATGCTTTCTTGAATACATTTTTCTGTGACGAGCATACATCTTGGACAAGCTTTTGCCTACTGAAGCCTCTATTTTTCCATTTGTTGTGGAACTTAATACTCGAAAGTTATTATTGTACTCCAGTACATCTGTGTCCGAGAGTTGTCCTTTGGACAAAAACTTTTCTGCCAAAGTCCTGTCATTTGATTTTATAGTAGTTGGATGAGATGAACCTTCATAAACAAACAGTAATGAACTTGCATAAAAGTTAAGCTGCTTCTGGTTTTCAAACCACCGCAGAATTCTCTCAATCTTCTGAATACTAGCAGCAACAGCATCTTTTCTTAAGCAGAATCCATTATGAAAAAACCTGGAAACTCCTATAGAAATGAACAAATAACATCACTGTAACATGTGTTATTATTATTATATAATTATAAAACAGCTACCACTTGAAAAGTAAATTCATCTTTGATATCATTTTCCCCCATCATACCTTGCAATAAACTGAACTAGGAAGAATTCTAGTCAGACATAGAAACCTGGACTTCAACTTAATTTCTAATGAAGATGCTGGTGAACATTTAAGTTACACTTATGTAAAGTGAAAAATCCTTTAAACAAAATGATTTATTATAGATAGACTGGTAGTTTAGTTCCCTCAACATATATTCTCTTAAAGAATGTATTCCAAGATTTATTTCAGTGCCTATTTTGAGGGATTTTATAGAAAGGCTAGAGGCCTAGTGCACGAAATTTGTGCACAGGGAGGGGGAGTTGTCCCTCAACCCAGCCTGCACTTTCTCTAATCTGGGACCCCACAAGGGATGTCCGACTGCCCATTTAGGCCTAATTCCAGTAGGATCAGGACTAAACGGGAGTCAGACATCCCTCTCACAATCTAAGACTGCTGGCTCCCAACTGTTCACCTGCCTGCCTTCCTGATTGCCCCTGCTTCTGCCTACCAGCTTAATCACCCCCTAACCACTCCCCTGACATCCTAATTAATGCCTAACTGCTCCACTGCCAGCCTGTTTACTCCTAACTCTGTCCCCTGCAGGCCTGGTTACCCCTAACTGCCCTCCCCTGTAAGCCTGGACCCCCTCAACTGCCCTTCCCTGTATGTCCAGTCACTCCCAACTTCCCTCCTCTGCTGGCCTGGTCCCTCCCAACTGCCCTCCCCTGCTGGCCATCTGTGATGGCCATCTTGTGTCCACATGGGGACAGGATCTTTGACTACATGGGGGCAACAATCTTGTGTGTTGGAGTGATGGTAATCTGCACATTACTCTTTTATTGATAGGATAGAGGCCTGGTATATGGGTGGTGGCCAGCTGGTGTGCCCTGAAGGATGTCCCAGATCAGGATGAGGGTTCCCTTGGGGTGTGGGGGGCCTGGGCGAGGGGCCTGGGATGGTTTGCAGGCCAGCCATGCCCCTTGGCAACCCAAGTGGAAGCCCTGGTATCTGGGATTTATTTATCTTCTACAATTGAAACTTTGTAGCCTGGAGCAGAGCCAAGCCTTCTGCTTGCTCCATGGCTGCAGCCATTTCTGTTGGAATTTATTTACCTTCTATAATTAAAACTTTGTAGTCTTAAGTGGAGGTCTGGGCCAGCCAGGGTGTGTGGGAAGCTTGGCTTCCTCCACTGCTGGGGGCAACCCTAGCCTCCCACTCTTTCCAGCTCTGTGGCTCCCACCATTTCTGTTTGGATTTGTTTACCTTCCATAATTGAAACTTTATAGCCTTGAGGCAAGGACAGACAGAAAGTTTGGCTTCCTCCATTGCCTGGGAAACCCAAGCCTCCTTCCTGCACTCTGTAGCTGTAGTAGCTATCTTGGTTGGGTTTATTTGCATATTTGCTCCTGATTGGCTTGTGGGTGTGGCTTATGGGTGTAATGGAGTGATGGTTAATTTGCATGTTGCTCTTTTATTAGATAGGATTACTTGTTTATCAGAATCACGTGTAAGAACTAATCTAAAACCTAGAGTTAAATCATAACCATTTTTAATGGTGTCAACAGCCCATTACCAAAATACAAAGTCCCAATAGCACTAATTTTTTTTTCCTCAATAATACTGATTAAATCAATCTTTCCACACAAATTAAACTCACATTAGGGATGAGCACTATTCCAGTTTGAGTATATTACCCCAAATTAAGGCTTTTAAATACTTTAACCTATCAGATTATTTATGCCTCTTAAAATTATTTATGCCTACTTTATCAAATTTGAAATTTTATTGGTATGTACAGTTTTATTTTTGCCTTTAAATAGTTGTTTCCTACTCTGAGATAGAAATTGCTAAAAAATATATTCACATTAGCTTGGGAAATATTTTAATAAGAAACCAGTCTACATGCCCAGCCACAGTGGCACAAGTGGCTGAGTGTCAACCTAAGAACCAGGAGGTCACAGTTCGATTCCCAGCATAAGCTCAGGTTGCAGGTTTGATCCGGTGGAGGGTGAACAAGAGGCAGCCAATCAAAATGGTTGGTTCATAGATGTTCATTTTTATAGAAGTATAATAAGTAAGTAAATAAATAAATGAAAATGTAAGATACACCCAAGGTTATGTATGAATGTAAATTTCATTTTTTTAAAAAAGTTTATTGTGAATTGAATCATTATTCCAAAAGACAAAATTGAAATCACTTTAGAATTATTTTGATATTTATACAGTAATAAAAGCATTAAAATCTGGTTGTTTAATCCTTACCTTCCTTTAGAGTTTCTTTTGTTAAGCTTCTTCCATAGTGCTGGTTTTGTGTCTCATAGCTATCAGAATGGACATGATAAACCTGTCAGAAAAAGTAGTGAATATTAAAAATATTCCTCAACAGTGTGGAATTTATCTCAGCACTGGTTAAAGGTGGAAAGATTTATTCATATGAGTCATCTTAATTAATTGAAGGGGGGGGAAATCATGTCATCATATCAGTAGATTCTAAAAAGGCATTTAATAAATTTACACCTACTATCAATGAAAACTTTTTAAACAGATAGATGAATATTTCAATAAGAAAATTATCTACCTCAATCCACCAAAGGTCAGCCTCAACTCAAGTTTAATGTGGAAATAAAGAAAAGGATCTGTCCTAAAATATAAGAAGTTTTTTAAAAAATGTGTTCTATCTAATGTTCTATAACCTCTAGCAAATGCAAATAAGACAAGAGAAAGAAATTAAAGGAATAATAATTTGGGAAGGAAAAGATAAAAATATTACTCTTTTTAGGTAATGGACATATACTGAAAAATCAATTGAAAAACTAGTAAAAACTTAAAATGGTGACTGAGTACAAATTAGTAAGCAAAAAAGAAGCATTGATATACACAAATAACTGGTTAGAAACATAATGGAAAACTCCATTTACAATGACAACAAAAGATAAATAAACTAAATAAAAGTACAATCTATATAAAGACATCTTTAACAAATTCCTAAGACATACACACAAACACAAACCCATGGTCTCAAAAAGGGAGACTCAATATAAAAGATATCATTTCTTATACCCCTATGTTCACTGCAGCATTATTTACAATAGCTAAGATTTGGAAAGCCAAGTGGCCATCAGTGGATGAGTGAATAAAAAAGCTGTGGTACATTTACATGATAGAATACTATTCAGCCATAAAAAGAAGGAAATCTTACCCTTGTGACAGCATGGATTGACCTGGAGAGTATTATGCTAAGTGAAATAAGCCAGTCAGAGAAAGACAAATACCATATGATTTCATTCATATGTGAAATCTAATGAACAAAATAAACAAACAAAATAGAAACAGACTCATAGAGAACAGAACAGCTGTCAGAGGGGAGGTAGGTTGTGGGGCTGGGTGAAAAAGGTGAAAGGATAAAAAAAAAACAAAAAACCCTCAGACACAGACAACAACACAGTGATTATCAGAGGAAAGGAGAGTGAGGGAAGGTAGGAGAAGTATAAATAGTAATGGAAGGAGACTTGACTTGGGGAACACACAATACAATATACAAATAATATATTATAGAATTGTATACCCGAAACCTATAATTTTATAAATCAACAAGAGGCCCAGTGCACAAAATTCATGCATGGGTGGGGTCCCTACCCCTGGCCAATGATCAGGGCTGACTGGGGCCTGGTTTATTGGGACCCGAAGGCCCCGGCAAAGAGAGGAGGAGACAGTTGCCGGACCAGGCGCTGAGGGAATGAATGCTGGATGCCAATGCTGCTTTCCTGTCCAGCCACCATGCGGTTTCCCACCTCCCTCCCTCCCCCTTCTCTTGTCACTGTGCCATCACCGGGGCCTGCAGGCCAAGGGTAGAGATGGGGAGGTTGGCCACTAGCCCCTCCAATACCCACCCCTGGTTCCCCATCCCAGCCCAGGGCCCGGCCCCGATCAGGTGATTGGGGCCTGCTGCTCAGGAGGAGGGACAGTGGGAGGTTGGCTGTGGGAGCACAGTGACCACCAGGGGGGGCAGTTCCTGGATTGAGCACCTGCCCCCTGGTGGTCAGTGTGCGTCATAGCAACCGATTGTTCCTGTCATTTGGCTGTTAACAGTCACTTAGGCTTATATATAGATGTTATCCCAATACATTAAACAAAAAAAATAAAAAATTTAGGGATAACAGTTTTACTTAAATTAATCCACAACTAAAACATAATTATAATAAAACACCAACAATTTTTATAACCAGATAAGCCAATCTAAAGTTCATATAGAAAATGACATATCCCAGGAGGGCCAAATCACGAAATGTCTTTTTTACTTATCCTGTATATGTACCCTAAGGCAATGGAATTCCACTGAAGAGTTTTTAATAGGAAAATGCTGTGATTATTTTACAATGTCTGGAGAACAGATTGAAAGAAAGAAAGAAAAACTGAACTTGAGAGATCAGTTAAGAGACTACGTTCTGTAAAAGGATAATGGTGATAATCGATTTGATATGCTAAGGAATTAAGATCAATAGGATTAATGGATAGCTCTGAGAGTTAATGGTGACTACAGGTTTCCAGTGTGCAAAATTAGCATGTGCAAAACTAGCACTGCCATTTCTGAGATAAGGAATATTCTTAGTATTTGTTGAGATTCATTGCGGTTGGTTGTGAAATGAGTGTATCACTTTTATATATATATTAGTTCTAGATGTTTTTAAGTCACCCTAGTAAAATGTCTGGTATGATTCTAGCTATCCAGATTAGGAGATCAAGAAAAAGCTGAGGCTACAGATATACCTTTGGGAGTATCAGTGTAAGTGAAACTGAACCAATAAGAACAAAGGACACTGCTTAGGAAAAAACAGAAAATAAAGATAGTAAAATGAAACAGAGCAGAATACCTCAACATTTAAAGAATTAACCGGGGGGGGGGGGGGGGGGGGGGAAGGGGGGGGGATAAGCTGGCAAGGAAAACTGCAAAGTAGCCTTTGGAAAAAACCAGGACAGGGTGTGATCTCAAGGACATAAAAAGGAATGTTTCAAGGAAAACATAGTCAGCCTGAAGGCTGCTTTTCAAAGTGCAGTACGGTTAGTGATGAAAATGGCATTTACATTTTAGTGACATGAAGATGTCATTAGGGACCTTAGTGATGGCATCGTAGAGCAAATGCCAGATTGGAGGCTGAGAAATACTAAGTGGGAATTAAGGCAATGAAAATAACTATTTTGATTGTAAAGAGGAGGCAAGTTAAACCCACTGGTAGATAGCAGAGCAAGGTAGTAGATAGTAGGCTTTGATGTTGTTGTTTTTTAAAAATGGAGAGTGATCTGAACATATATATATAAAATAAACTTACCTAGGAAAGAGATAGAAGCTGAAAATATAAGACAAGAAAGAATCAATAGTATTAGATTCCTAAAGAGATGGGAGGGAATGAGATCCAGAGGGCATAGGGAAGGTCTGTCCTTAGGTCAGAAAATTCATCAGTGTGAGAGAAAGGAATAAAAGGGAAATGAAAGCACTTGTAGGTTAGGTATGTACATCTGTTGACAGGAAATTAAAATAAATCCTATCTAATGCCTTTAATTTTTTTCTGAAGCAGAAGGTAAGGTCCTCTGAAAAAAAAGTGAAACGGAGAGTGGGAGAGTAAGATTTGAAAACAGCGAATGTTTAAATAGTTGCTCGTGTGGGATATTTATTTCTTGTTTTAACATTATGCCATGAATCCTTTTTCCTTTTAATATATTCCCACATTTAATTATAGTTTTCTAAATGAAACAACTGCATCAACAATTTCTTTGATCAGAACACCAAATTCAACTGTGCTGTTATAATTATCACAATAACAATCCATCTATAATGCTTCCTATTTATTAACTCTATTTAAAACTCAAAAGATTTATATATCATCTTGCATGATGAATTTCAAAACTACACCATTATGCTTCTATAAGTAGCAATCATTTACCAAACTTAACCTCCACACATCTAACCTCTTTTTCCAGAGCCCTTGTAGCTCCCACAATTGCCTTTTAGGAATGTGGTACATGAAGAAGTTCCAACAAGCCTCCTGGACGATGAGAAACCACATGGCAAAAGGCCCATTCGAAAGTTAGAACAAGCTCCCCCAACAGAAGTGTAGACCACCTAGCCCCTGCAGAACCATCAGATCAGGGTGAGATCAGCAGAACTGTCTACTTAGGCCAGCTCAAACTGCCAACCCACAGAATTATGAGCAAATAAAACAACTTTTTAAACCAGTTACCTAACTTTATTTTCCCTTTTACTGAATATATAAACATAGTACTTTCCTCATGGCAAAATCATGAACAATATAACATTAATTTACCACATTACTTATATTACAGCTAAACTAAAAGCCTCCTTAAAACAAAATTACCAGAGTTGGAATAATGAGGTTCAGCCATTTATCCATTTAGTAATCACGGATTATGTCACAATCATTCCTGACACTGACCATATATCAGTGAACAAAAAAATAAAAATCTCTGCTCACACTGGGGAGTTGTAGACAACTAAATTGCAAAATATGTCATCTTATATATTAGTATCATACTGACACCTCTAATTTTCAAGGAAAGAACGTGTAAAGAAAAATATGTGTACTATACTAATAATCACTCTTACCCTCATGCCAAGCACCAAGAATCCAATCTCTTCCATTAATGGGTACTTGCTGACCTGTTGCTGAATCTTCTCAGATGAGGCAAAAGGATCATAGCTTTTTCGCCCTATCTTTACATCCATTATACAGGGCTTATTAAATTTATGGGTCACATCTTCCAGTTTTAGGTATAAATCTGTTATGAAATAAAAACTTTTAATTAGCGATAGGCAAACATACTACCACTCAAATAACTTTCAGAAGAAACAAAATGAGGAAAATTTAAAACTGAGAAAAACAAGTTAAAACTCCAGAGTCAACAATTAGTATCAATATCACAGAGAAACACTTGCAGGAGTGTTTGAAGTAAATGTAAGATTTCCAAAACATTAAAAAGGCACAATGAGAGCCCTGGCCAGTGTAGCTCAATTGGTTGGTTAAATGTCATCCCCTCAAGGCATACGCCCAGATTTTGTGCTCAATCTCCAGTAGGGGGCGTGCAGGAGGCAGCCAACAGATGTTTTTCTCTCTCGTGGATTACTGCACTCAAAGATTACCAAAGAATTTCTATAAACAGTTACACATATTTATCAGAAAGTCTGAGGGCTATAAGGGAAATAGTTGTGGAGATAATAAAACCTCTTCTAAACAATCTTTTAAAACTGAGTACTTAATTACAGTATCTAGATAGCCAATCTACACTATACTCAACAAACTTCGTTAATTTTTAGAAGTGAGATTCTTGAAGAATAATTAAATAATGTTCTAAGTTAAACATCAGTAGCAAAATTCATTGAAATCTAAGTTTCTTACATTATAATGGAAATCTCTATGATCACAAAGACTTGTGAAATAATTTAAGCAACATGCTGATCTGAATCAGAAACATATACATTTGGGACTAATAGACAAGAAGGAAGAGTGAAGGGACAAACTGGGAGGGAAGGGGAAAGAGCCTAGGCTCACTTTTTCCCACTGACATACAACTGAAGTACAGGCAAATCCTAAATACCCAGGGGACGGCTGATTTAGTATGACCTAACTGAGGATACTCACAGGAGAATACTATGATTCCCTATTAGTGAAATGTGATACACAGCCCATGAGTCAAAAAAAGACAAAGAACTAAGGAAAAGATAAGCTCAAGCTGGAGCCCCCTTCTTTCCTGTTCTCAAAATGTAGTCCAAGTACTATCGACATTAAAAAAGCTTGTCATTTTAAAAAAATATATATTTTATTGGTTTCAGAGAAGAAGGGAGAGAGATAGAAACATCAATGATGAGAGAGAATCATTGACCAGCGGCCTCCTGCAAGCCCCCCATGGGGGATTGAACCCGCAACTCAGGCTTGACCATAATCAAACCAGAAACCCTTCAGTCCATAGGCCGACAGTCTATACACTGAGCCAAACCAGCCAGAGTGAGCTTGTCGCCTTTTTTTTGAGCTTGTCACTTTTAACAAGCACATCACTGAACTCCAAAATAAACCTTCATAATCAAAATGTCTGGGCGATTATCCTATTAATATGCATTTTAATTAGCCCATGGGTTATTCTTAAACTCAGTCAAATTTCAAACTCTTACCCCATTCACCAACCTTTTTCAGTAGTTACACAGTCAAGCTGCTTATTTAATTAAACTGTCTGCTTAGTCAAAGGCCCAGAAGTAGCAAATATTGCTTCAGGTATTAACTAATATTAAGAGAGAGAAATGGCCGAAACCGGTTTGGCTCAGTGGATAGAGCGTCGGTCTGCGGACTCAAGGGTCCAGGGTTCGATTCCGGTCAAGGGCATGGACATTGGTTTCAGGCACATCCCTGGTGGGGGGTGTGCAGGAGGCAGCTGGTCGATGTATCTCTCTCATCAATGTTTCTAACTGTCTATCCCTCTTTCTTCCTCTCTGTGAAAAATCAATAAAATATATATATATTTTTTTTAAAGAGAGAAAGAGAAATGTTGTGCCCTTACATAGATCAGTTTGTCATCTAACTATAAAACTTATTGGTATTTTTTTTAAATATTGCAATTTAAAGCCCAGAAGAGTGGGACAAAGAAATGGGATAGGAGACAGGGAGGAAGTTATGGAAGGAAAATATATTTCCTGATGTTTTTTCCCTATTCAAAATGAAAAAAAGAAAATTGCCCAGAAATTACAAAAAGAGAACATCTGTAAATTAATACAGTATTAAGTATTAGTATATATATTTTTCCATTCAATTATAACAAACTGATCATTAATTTGTATATACCATTTAAGAAACTGGTTATGAAGAGCAAAAGTATTAATAAGTTTATCTAATGAAGTAGAGAATGATTAGAAAGAAAATCACACATGTATTCAGTTTTTATAATACTAGGTTTACTTTTATATAAACCTTTTATAAAACCACTCTCCTGAATTAAGAATAAAAGATGAATTTTAGGTACAGCTTACCATTTGGTGCAGTGGGAGGTGACCAGATGCCATAATATTTTGGTAAATATTTTCGTAGCTCTAAAAGAACACCATCAGTACCATCAGCAGCATAAACCTGAAAGAGAAATATAACTTGCATATTAGTTTCTTATAATGCTTTACAAATATCCTACACTTTCCTCAAATAAAATATTGTTTATCGTAATATATCTAAAATTTTGGATAAGCAAAAAAAAAAAAAGTACACTGTGTTTCCAATGAAAAACTGTATTGTTTAAGTTATCTAATTCTAGCCTTCTACTTTCCTTGAACTATTTTACAACAAAGAAAGCTATTGATAACTCTTAGCAAATGCAAAATAACTCGTTCATATAAATGCAAAATAAGTCTTGCAAAGAAATTCTGGCCATGGAAGGTTCTAGAATCTTCATGGAAGGTAGGAGTCTAGTGAACATTTCTAAATCATTTCAACTTTCCTTTATTTCATATAAATGTGTGCTTCTTTGACTTTTCTTTTGAACCAGTTTTAACATCTGCATAGTTCCCTCATTAAATAGTAAGTTTAACATCTTTTACACTTACAAATTTGATAACTGTAAAGAAGTTGTGGTTTTACCTTTTTTAAAAATAAATCCTTTACCTCAACGTAATTCTAATCATTGCTCACTTAATTTGTTGATTTATAAGCAGTAATAAGTCTAGTAAGAATTCTAGAAAATATTAGAAATGTCTAGATGTTGGGAAGCATGAGACTTGGTTAGAAAGTCTGTAAGGAGGACATTCTGATAAAAGTGTGTGGATTGCCGCCTGCCCTGTTTATCCGATTCTGACTGAAGGAAAAGGGAGTGTCGAAGGCGGTGCCCCCAATTATTACTTGACCTTTCCAAACGAGCCTGTGCACGTGCAGACCCCCAGCTGAAGCAGCCAGGCCCGGCCTCTATTGCCTGCTACCTTTGGCCTTTGCTGGAATTTTTATCTTTAGATACAATCAGTAGGGTGAGTAATCTTGGGAGGACACATGTTTATATTGCACTCTAGGCCAGGGCATCCAGGGATTAAGCATAATTCTAGTAAACACCCGAGTCTGCACGTGCGCAGCTGACCTTTAAACTGAGGGCTGATGTTTAACTGGAAGTCTGCTTTCTTCTTCCACAGCCTCCCAGGCCCTCACCCGTATCTTTTCTGCCAAGCTGTCTCTGCCTCTCCTTAGTAGCTGAGCATCTTTGGGAACATTTAAGGAAAGGTGAGCACAATGCAAAATGTCTTTATAAGCATGTTGCGGTGTACACACTTTGTAATTACTTTTTTTGTTATTGATGTGGCAACCATTTATAAACATTCAAAATAATCCCACAGTTCTCAAGCAGGGAGATTAGAAGAAGGGAGAGAGATCCCTTTTTCACTTTTAGGAGGTTATTTTTCAGCTTAATCCACATTGCCCTCTCTATAGAGGAGGGAAAGTGGTATGGGTCTGCCTTACTGAGAGCCAAACAACTCAGAGAAAGACGCCACTATGGTTAAAAAGGGATAAATAAATCCCTTTCCAGGAACAAAGGAAAAAAATAAAAAGGAAAAAAGAAGGATGGAAAATGCCTGGCCAGTGTGGCTCAGTGGCTGAGCGTCAAACCATGCACCAAGAGGATGCTGGTTCAATTCTTGGTCAAGGGCAAATACTGGGGTTGCAGGTTCAACCTTCCACTCCCATACAGGCACGTTTGTCTCTCACAGCTCGCGCGCGCGCTTTCTCTCTCTCTCTCTCTCTCTCTCTCTCTCTCTCTCTCTCTCTCTCTCTCTCTCCTAACCCCCTCCCTTCTCTCCTTTTCCTCTCTAAAAATCAATGGGAAAAGATATCCTAGGGTGCAGATTAAAAAAAGAAGGATGGAATGGAGGAAAGGAAGAAAGAGAAACCGAGACAGGCATTCCCAGTAGGCATGGCTCAATGGTTGAGCATCGACCTAAGAACCAGGAGGTCACAACTGGATTCCCAATCAGGGCACTTGCCTGGGCTTCAGGCTCGATCCCTGGGAGAGGATGTACAGGAAGTAGTCAATGGATGACTCTAATCACTGATGTTTCTATCTCTCTCTCCCTCTCCCTTTTTCTCTGAAATCAATATATACATATATAAATGTACACACACATATGAGACAGAGATAGGCAAAAGGCTGTGATAAGTTGATAGGTAAGTTCTATCAAGCCTTTAAGGAATAAAATCTTTATATGATACAAATTCTTCCACAAAATAAAATAAGAAATGCTCCTCAACTCATTTTATCAAGCTAAAAGAACTTGATATCAACTAAAGACAAAATTTAAAGGAAATAATAATTCAATCTCATTTATAAACATAGCTGGGAAAAAACTGAAATAAAACACTTGCAAACAATATTTAGTAATTCATATTATTAAAAATAAAAAAGACATTCTAGTAGGTTTTGTTTCAAAAAATGAAAGGTGATATAATATTAGATAGATATAATGTCATTTACGGCATTATCAGATTAAAGGAGGAAACTCAATTTCAAAAGATACAGAAAAGGTAACTGAAAAATATTCAATACCTATTCATATCATACTTTAAATTGTTTCCTGAGGTAGAAATTGAAAGAATGCTATATATTGTATTTTCCCTTTCCACTTCCCACAATTTTCTTCCCAAGAAGCTGACAAGACTCATCTGCATCAATGGGATCCCTTGTCCTCTGGTCATTCTCTTACTAGTGGGAGAGAGTTGAGGTTGGGTTATTTACTTCTCTAGTTCCCTCCTTATCATAAAATTACCTTCCCTGGATTCCAATAACCATTCCCTCTCCTTACCCTTAGAGGCCCAAAGATGTTACAACATTATTTCTCGCAGGTAACCTTAACTCTGACCAAGCCTATGTAAACAACCCCTTTATTAAATTGACAGAATACATAAATTATCTCTTGTCAGAATCTCGACTCACACAAAAGGCAATTTCCTTAACCTAGGAAGATGAATCTACCAAAATGTCAGTTTTACAGGGAAATGTTAAAAGCATTTTTGTTATATGAGATGAAGATACCCCTATCATTGCTTCTATTGAGCTCTGAAATGGAAGTCCTTGACAGAAGTATATGGATTCAAAAAGGACAAACAAAACTCCCAATTACAAAGTATAAAATTATCTATATAGAAAACAATTAAAATTGTTAGGGAACCTCAGATAATATGAGTTAAAAAAGAATTCAACAAGATTACAAGACAAGGAACACTAGCTAGATATCTATTTTTTTTCTTATCTAATAAAAGGGTAATATGCAAATTAATCATCACTCCATCACAAATATGGTGGCACCCATAGCAACCAGGGCCCTGGCAATGAGAGCCCAGCACTCCGCACCCCGGCCACACTGAGGGAGGGGCCTCTGGGGGCAACACAAGCCCAGCATCCTGCGTCCCGGCCACACAGAGGGAGTGAGGGGCCTCTGGGGATGATGCAAGCCCAGTGTCCTGCAACCTGGCCACACAGAGGGAGGAAGGGGCCTCTGGCCAGAGGCCGGGGCGCAGGACACTGGCTTTGTTACAGGCCGGACTGAGGGACCCCACCCTTACTCCCCAACCCCCACCTCCCCCCATGCACAAATTTTGTGCACCGGGCCTCTAGTTCTTATATATTAGCAATCACTGGAACACTTAATTTAAGAACTACCATTTACAACTGAAACAAAATACAAAGAACCTAAAATAAATCCAACAAATTACATACAAGACTTTTACAGAGTAAATATAAAATACTTTCTTCAAAAATGAGACATTATTTAACAGCTAAAAACATATATCTTAAAGCTTAGATTGCCTACATTCAAATCCTGAGACCACTATTTACTTTAGCATGATCATGATCAAATTATTTAAACTAATCATGCCTAATGCACACATGTATAAAATGAAGCTAGGAGTACCTATCTCATAGATAGTTGTGAGTTAAATGAGTTAATAATGGTAAAGCATGTATAATGTACTTTTTGTTTGTTTGTTTTTTAATATATTTTATTGATTTTTTACAGAGAGGAGGAGAGAGGGATGGAGAGTCAGAAACATCAAGAGAGAATCACCGATCAGCTGCCTCTTGCACACCCCCTACTGGGGATGTGCCCACAACCAAAGTACATGCCCTTGACCGGAATCAAACCCAGGACCCTTCAGTCCGCAGAACGATGCTCTATCCACTGAGCCAAACCGGTTTCGTCTGTATTTGTTTTTTAACTTTAGCTTGTATTTTTTTTTTACTTGCACCTATACTTAAGCACTAACATCATAGCATTTAGAATAAAATATAATTTTAGATATAACACCAAAAGCACAAGTGACCAAAAAAGAAAAAAAGATACACTGAATTTCAATATTTAAAAAATTTAAGCTTCAAAAAACACTATGAAAAAATTGAAGACAACCCAAGGAACAGGAGAAAATATTTCTAAATCATATATCTGACAAAGGACTTGTATCTAGAATATATAAAGAAATCCTATCTACACTAATAAAAGAAACATGCAAATTAACCGCACCTCTGCCATGCCCACCAGCCAATCAGGACAGAGTATGCAAATTAACCCAACCAAGATGGCTGAAGCCACATAGCGAGCAGGAGGCTTGGGTTTCCCCAGCAATGGAGGAAGCCAAGTTTCCTAACCACTCTGACCGGCCCTGGCCTCTGCTCAAGGCTACAAAGTTTCAATTATAGAAGATAAATAAATCCCAGATACCAGGGCCTCCACTTGGGGAACCCTCACCTTAATCCGAGACACCCTTCAGGGCAAACCAGCTAGTCCCCACCCATGCACCAGGCCTCTATCCCATCAAATAAAAGAGCAATATGCAAATTGACTATCACTCCAATACACAAGATGGCTACCCCCATGTGGTCTAAAATGGCTTCCCCATGTGGACACAAATGGCCACAACAAGATGGCCATCAGGGGAGGGCAGTTGGGAGGCACCAGGCCCGCAAGAGAGGGCAGTTGTGGGCAATCAGGCCAGCAGAGGAGGGCAGTTAGGTGCAATCAGGCTGGCAGGGGAGTGGTTAGGGGGTGATCAGGCTGGCAGACAGAAGCAATTAGGGGCAATCAGGAAGGCAAGGCAGGTGAGCAGTTGGGAACCAGCAGTCCTAGATTGTGAGAGGGGTCAAAGATTGGAGAGGGTCCAGGCTGGGCTGAGGGACACACACTCCTGTGCACGAATTTCATGCACCAGGTCTCTAGTCTATAATAATCCTACATAATAAAAGCTAATATGCAAATTGACCAAATAGTGGAATGACTGGTCACTATGACATGCACGGACCACCAGGGGGCAGAAATTCAATGCAGGAGCTTTGGGACTTGTATCTAGAATATATAAAGAACTCCTATCTACACTAATAAAAGAAACATGCACCGCTCAGCCAGAAGCCAGCCTCACAGCTGGTGAGCACAGCGGTGGTGGCGGGAGCCTCACCAATCTCCGAGGCAGTCAGACATTTCCCCATGGGCTCCTGGACCGCGAGAGGGTGCAGGCCAGGCTCAGTGGACAACCCCCCCCCCCGCCCGAGTGCACGAATTTCATGCATTGGGCCTCTAGTTAAAGCATAATGTGCTACTTAGACCAGACTGCCGGGCTACCTTCCAGATGAAGTGGGGCTGCAAGGGCCAAGCCCCTTATACGAATTTCATATATCAGGCCTCTAGTGATTAAATAAAAGACATCCCAATGAAGAAATAAGCAAAGGATCTAAATGGACATTTCTCCAGAGAGGATTTAGACATGGTCAGTAAGCATATGAAAAGATGACCAACATCACTAGCCATTAAGGAAATGCCAATTAAAATATAACACAATGAGGTAACAACACTTCACACTCACTTGGATGGCCCTTAAAGAAAACTAGCTGAAACCGGTTTGGCTCAGTGGATAGAGCGTCGGCCTGAGGACTGAAAGGTCTCAGGTTCAATTCCTGTCAAGGGCATGTACCTTGGTTGCGGGCACATCCCCAGTGGGGGGTGTGCAAGAGGCAGCTGATCAATGACTCTCTCTCATCTATGTTTCTAACTCTCTGTCCCTCTCTCGTCCTCTCTGTAAAAATCAATAAAATATATTTTAAAAAAAGAAGAAGAAAGAAAACTAAGAAGTTCTAGTGAGGATATAGAGAAATTACAACCCTCATACACTGCTATGGAAATGTAAAATGGTGCAGCCACTTTGGTAAACACTTTGACAGTTCCTCAAAAAGCTAAATATAGAATTATCATATGACCCAGCAATTCCAGTCTTAAGATATATATAAAAAAAAATTGGAAACAGGTACTTAAACAAATATTTGTACATGAATGTTCATAGAAGCTCTACTTACAAAGGCCAAAACGTAGAAACAACCCAAAGGTACATCAATGGATAAATGGATAAACAAAATGTGAACAGAATATTCCTCAGCCATAAAAAGGAACAAAATACTAATGCACACTACAGAATAGGTGGACCTTAAAAATATGAGACCAAAAAGAAACTAGACACAAAAGGTCACATACCGTATAAGCAGATTGGTGGTTGTTAGGGATTGGGCAGAGGGAGGAACAAAGCATCATGCCTTCAGAGTTTTGGGTTTTCTTTGGGTGATGAAAATGTTTGTAACTAGACAGAAGAGGTGTTCCTAGTCATATGATTACTTAGATGTTAAGTCTGTCTCTTACCACCATGCTTTGGAGATTTATAGTGCACATCAGCAATATATGCTAAGAAATTCTATAGTGAAAACATTTAGACTCAGCATTTCTGAGAAACAGAAACAGTCTCGCAGGTATTTTTCAAAATGTAGGTCGCATCCCATTAATAAAAATCAATTTAATGGATTAGAATAGAAAATATTAGGCTGCATCAATAAAGATAAACATTATATTTCATTAAGCTTTTGTTTCAGTCACACACACATTATACAAGACATGCTATCAAACGTATTTATTACTGAGTCACCACCAGAGAACTGAAAACCACTATGAATACAACAAACAAATCTTACGTCACTTACCATATTATAGAATTCTAACTCTCTTGGGCCCCTTGGAGGTGGCTGTAGCTGTTTCAAAACTGTGCCATCTGGATGTTGCAAGATACCTATAGAACAAAAATCAGAAACTGTATTTTTTAATGCTTTAGTTATAGTGTATCTTGCATCCTAGACTAGATTTAGATTTGTTCCTGAAGTTACAGATAAACGACTCATAAATTTAAGGGTTTCCTTTTATTTATTCCAAAAATGTTAACATTCAACCAACATATTTCAGTGCTTTTTATATGCAAAGCACCAGAACACAAATTCTAAAAAGCTTGGTTTTATTGTCTCCACAACTATTCCCTTTTAGCTTCTTCAGATTTTCCAAGAGATGTTAATTTACAGTTAAACTAGAGGCCCCTCACACGAAATCATACAGGTAGGGTCCCTAGGCCTACCCTCCTGCAATCAGTGCCATCTTCTGCTCATTCACCAGTCCCAGGCTGAACGCCACCTCTGCCATCGGGCTCGCAGACCGTTGGGATCACCAGCTCATCCCCAGCTGCTCTGGGGCTCAGGCCTGCGGGAAAGCGGGTGAGGTGACTTCACTTCCATGCACGTGCACAGGCCGGCCACTGATGGAACACACTGCCCACTTGGGGCTGCTCATGTGGGCACCACCGCCACTGGGGCTTGAGGCACTGACAGAAGCTGCAGCACGCCTGCAACCTACCTGCCCCAGTATGAGCACCCCCAAGCGGGCAGCACATTCCATCAGCGGCCAGCCCAGAGCACATACATGGAGGTGAAGTCACCAACGCCTGCTTTCCTGCAGGCCTGAGCCCCCAAGCTAGCCAGGATGAGCTAGTGATTCCAATGGCTTGACAGCCAACCTGGTCCTCCCGCCACCTACCTTGATTCCCCCATTCACCATTGTTGATCCATGGGAGCCCAGCCTGCACCCTCTCCAATCTGGGATCCCTCTCACAATCCAGTATACTGCTGGCTCCCACTCATCTATCTGCCTGCCAGCCTGATTGCCCCTAACCTGATCAATGCCTAACTACTCCCCTGCCAATCCAATTGCCCTCCCTTAATTGCCCTCCCTTCACTGCCCTCCCCTGCCAGCATGGTCTCCCCTAACTGCCCTCCCCTGCTGGCCTGGTCACCCCCAACTGCCCTCCCCTGCTGGCCTGATTGCCCCTAACTGCCCTCCATGTAGGCCTACTCACCCTAACTGCCCTCCCCTGCAGGCCATCTTGTGGTAGCCATCTTGTGTCCACATGGGGGTGGCCATCTTTGACCACACAGGGGCAGCTATCTTGTGTGTTGGAGTGATGGTCAATTTGCATATTACCTCTTTATTAGATAGGACAAGAAACAAGTTATAAGCAGTAGCAAAAATCTACCTCATTTTTATAGAGAAAAAAATGTAATATGAATCTTCTACTTGGTAATTTCTTATACTTTTCACTCATCTAAAAAAGCAAAATTTTTTTTCCTGATTCAGATGTACTGTGTACAGTTGCAAAGATAGAATGAGGGCATTTAGCCAACAGGAAAATGGGGGCACCAAGTCAGAAGCAGGAAGGGCACCTTTTTATAATCAGCCCATTTAAAGGAGTCTTTTTCTAAAGTCATGTCCTAGCACTGGCCCTGTCCCTATAGGCTCAAGAGCTGCAGTTTGCTACTCTGTTGACTAATGAGTTTGCCAACCACTGCCCTATACCAAAAGACTCATTCCCAAAAGTGTGTTAAAATCTTAAATTTTCATATATTGAGTTTTTCAAAAATCATGTTCGTTAGAACACAATAACAAGTCCAAATAAATCTATTTACAACTTTGATAAAATATGCCACTTAATTTCCACTGCTATTGCCAAGTGTCAGAAATTCTTAATCATAATAAAAATGCAAAAATTAATCAACAGAAGCAAAGTCTCAATTTAATATTGCAGTAATTAAGTTGTTTTAATACCTAGCTATAGAATTGGTAAATATAAACCCATGTGGATAAGATTGGTTGGAAGCAGTCAAAGGACCTGGAGACTTTAAGAAATAGTCTAATACAGTGGTTGGCAAACTCATTAGTCAACAGAGCCAAACATCAACAGTACAACAATTGAAATTTCTTTTGAGAGCCAAATTTTTTAAACTTAAACTATATAGGTAGGTACATTGTTATTAATTTAACTAGGGTACTCCTTCAATTGCACTGTTGTGGAAGAGCCACACTCAAGGGGCCAAAGAGCCGCATGTGGCTCACGAGCTGCACTTTGCCGACTACTGGTCTAATATAACTAAAAATTAGTGAAGAGAAATCCTAATTCCGAGGGCTGGGATATGTAGAACAAGAAAGCCCTTCGCTCCCATGGTAGGAGACATTTTCTATGAACCAATGAAGAACGAAAGATAAAAAGAAATCTTGAGGAACTCAATTCCAGATGGTAGCAAACATGGAGAATTCATAAACGAGGAGAGAACCATGGCAGCTTCTCTGCCTTGGGACAGGCACCTGGTCTGCCATTAAACACAGGCAAGCAAAAGTCAGCTTGACTATAGACAACAATATGTGGTAGCAGGATGGATTGAAGACAATAATCCTAACAGATTGCTTGGTCCAGCAATTCTCCCACATTACTCACTTTGCAACACACCCCATCTAATTTTTCAGAAAAAGTAGCCATATAAGAGAATATGGTAATCCCAGGCATTCTCCCTGCGAATGAATTTCAGACTCTAAAAATAAACCAATCATATTTTAAACTGCAGATAAATCCCTCCCAGCTGAAAAAGTATCAAGATTTAAAAAGTGCGGAAAGTACAAAGACTAAGCCAATAACAGAAATACTAAATCTAAGATTGTAGCCCAGCATCAGCTTAACTAAATTCTAGGAAGAATATGATATATCAGCCTCTTACTTTAACAGAGGAAAAAACTTATACTCTATGTAGGGGGAAAAATTCCCTGCTGTTCTTTAAATAAAATGTAAAAAAAAAAAACAATAAAAAATTAGATATATTTAAAAAAAAAACACACACACAATAAAACATGATGCATAATCAAGAGAAAACAAAGTCAACTGACAAACACAGAAGTTGGCAGATGACCAAGTAATTTTAATCAGCAAACAAGGATTTTAAAACGATTATAAACATGTAAAAAAGTTATAGAAAAAAAACAACTATAAATACTGAATAGATGAGGTATTTTATCTATTGGGAAACACTAATTGTGTTCAGGAGAGAAACAGAAATTGTAAAAAAAAAAATAAAAAAATAAAAAAAAGATCTAAAGCAGTTAAACAGGAACACTGGGGGGGGGGGGGGGGGAAATAATCCTTTGGCAAATCAGCCTTTCTAAACATAAGATTACTAGAGGCCCTGTGGGGAGCAGGCCTAAGCCCTCAGTTGCACATCCTTAGCACTGCTGCAGAGGGGAGAGGATCCGCCATCACAGCTGCACTCGCCAGCTGTGAGCCTGGCTCAGGGCTTCTGGCTGAGCAGCACACTGGCCACCAGGGGGTAGCTCCTACATTGAGCATCTGCCTGCTGGTGGTCAGTGTGTGTCTTAGGGACTGGTTGTTCCACTGTTTGGTCAATTTGCATATTAGCCTTTTATTATATAGGAGGATGACAGAGGAATTTCAAGCCCATGGAGCTCTGAAAGTGTATTAGTTTGCTCGGGCTTCCATAACAAAATAAAGTATTTATTTTCTCACAGTTCTAGAGGCTAAAAGTCCCAGATCAAGGTGCCAACCAATTTGGCTCCTGGTTAGAGCTGTCGTCCTGGGTTGTAAACTTCTCACTTTGTTCTCACATTGTAGGGGAGAAGGGAATGAGGGAGAAGAACGGTAGGAAAGGGGTGGGGAAGAGAGTGAAAATGTGAGAGAGAAAACACTCTCATGTCTCTTTTTTAGGAATCCCACTGGATCATGCCCCCACCCTTGTGACTTCATTAATCTTAATTACCTCTATTAAAGCCCTATCTCAAAATACAATCGTATTGGGGGTTGTTGTTTTTTAACATATGAATTTTAGGGGACACAACATTCAGTCCATAACAGAAGGTGCCCATAACAACTACAAAATTCAAACTTGTTTCTACTGACTAAACTGATTCAATCACCAACATTAATAGCCTACAGAACAGATGTATTAATTTCAGACAAAAATACTGTTTGCATAAGTTGTTTAAATCCTATAATGTCTAGAATTTAATAAAAAAAATCATAAGACATATGAAAAAGCAAGGGTAAAAAATCATTGTCAAAAGATAATGCAACGAATAGAACAGTTTGAAGTAACACTGATGTTGTAATTATCAAAGAAGCTTAAAATAACCATAACTAATATGTTAAAGGTTATAACATAAAAAGTAGAACAGAAAATTCAGAAGGAATAAATTTTAGAAAATATTTTTAGAAAATAAATATTAGATAATAAATATTAGAAAAGTATTTTTGCTAAATAATAATGAAAACTAAACATATCAAAATTTGTGGAATGCAGCTAAAAAATACTGCTTAGTGCTTAGTGGAAAATGTGTCATTTTAAATGCATGCATTAGAAAAGTAAAAAGATTATTCCAGCCTGGCTGGCATGACTCAGTGGTTAAGCTTTAACCTATGAACCAGGCGGTCGTGGTTCGATTCCTGGTTGGGGTACATGCCTGGGCTAAGGGCTCGGCAGACAAGAAACATTCTCATCAGTGATGTTTCTACCTCTCTCTCCCTCTCTCTGAAATCAATAAAAATATATTTTTTTACCAAAAAAATTTTTTTTACTGGTTCCAACCTAAGATTGAAAAAGAACATAGTAACCCCAAATAACTGGAAAGACAGGAGCAAAAATAAATAAATAAATAAATAAATAAATAAATAAATAAATAAAATAAGAATGGACAATGGAGAAATGTCAATAAAACTAAAAAGTTCTCTGATAAACCTATAGCTAGAAAGATCAAAAAAAGAAAAAGCAAACATAAGTTACCATTATCAGGAATAAATAAAATATGATAACAGTACAAATCCTACAAACATGAAAAGCATAAGAGAATTATGAACTTTACACTAATAAATCCAACAACTTAGACAAAATGAATACATTCCTTTAGACACTA